TATTATATTATAATAAAATTATTTTTTAAAATTGAATTTTTTGAGAAATGAGAAAAAAATCACTATTTGTATCGCAGCGCTTGCAGCTCTTTGCACCGCGCGACACAATTGATATTTTTACGAGAGGTAGGTCACTAGTGGTTATAGTGTACAAAAATTACCCTTGATACGGATTACCTTTAAATTACCTCAGATTACTTAAGATTACCTTAGATTACCTCAGATTATCTGAGGCTACCTTAAGGGGATCCAAAAGCTCGTCTGTTTTACCGACCAAAACGATTATTATTTTGCACACCGAAATCTTTTTTTTAGTTGAATAGAATAACAAATCCTTTTCCATGATTTAAGTACACATCGAAACAAAGATGAAACTTCACGAGTTTATGTTAAAAACAGAAAGAAACTAAAAGTTACAGTTTTTTTATCGGCTTCTGGCGTCAGGTCGGAACAATACTTATGTAATATAAAAGTTTTGCAATGTGTACGTGCAAAATAAGATACCTCTCCGCTCGGAAATACTTGAAAGAATATAGGTGAACGTTTAGAAACGTGTTTAGAAGCCTAGTAAAAAAGATTACTATCTGCAAAAATTTCGTGCATATGTGTGTGTGCGAAATCAGAGAAGCGCGAGTTAACGCGTAAGCGAATATGCTAGAAGAATAAAGCTAACAATAAGCGATATGCAGTACGTAGTAAGCGAGCGATTAGAAAGAGAGATACAGAGAGAACAGAGTAAGCGTATGAGGCTACATACACCTAGCGGTAGGAAAAATAGGGGGAAATTTGACAATCTTTTTTCATAAAAAAAATTTTTTATTAAAAAATTTCTAGCTGCATCTTAAAGTAGGTCTTTAATGTATATTTGGTAAAATTTTCATTAATAAATATTGAAAAATGTACCATGGAGACGTCATCTTCTGGAAGCTGCTCGACGATGCGGTAACCATTGTAGCTCCTCCAATTTTTACCTGAAATCAAAAACCAAAAAATTTTCTTAAAGTATATAAAAAAAGAAAGTTTTTGTCGTAGTCAATTTTTAAAATTGTGATTTTTCGAAAAATGGCTGCCATTTGAATCCAAAGATATAATTTTTAATCTGATACCTTCGCATTCAAATGGCCGCCATTTTTTGAAAAATCAAAATTTTTACAATTGGCTACAATAACTTCCTTTTTTTATATACTTTAAGAAAATTTTTTGGCTTTTGATTTCAGATAAAAATTAGAGGAGCTACAATGGTTACCGCTTCGTCGAACAGCTTCCAGGAGATGACGTTTCCACGGCACATTTTTTAATATTTATTAATGAAAATTTTACCAAATATACATTAAAGGACCTACTTTAAGATGTAGAACTAATTTTTAATAAAAAAATTTTTTTATGAAAAAAAAATTGTCAAATTTCCCCCTATTTTTCCTACCGCTAGGTGTATGTAGCCCCTTAAAAGTCAACTTCACATAGGTCCTTAAGAATACCTAAAATTACATACAGATTATTTGATATTACCCTTAGATTACTTAGATTTCCTATTAGATTACCCAAGATTATCTGAGAATGCTAAAAATTATTTAGAATTACCAAAAATTACCTTGGATTACCCAAAATTTCCTTTGGATTGCCGCTGAATTACCTAGCCCTTGTACAAAAATTACCTCAGTGACCAACCCCTCGTATTTCTAGCATTACAGATTATAAATAATATTAAAAGTTATGATAG